GAAACCGGTCAAAACTCCCCAAATCCATAACCTGCGTGAACTTCTCAGTGAAGGGTAAATTGGCTAATTATTCTGTTTCTTTTGCAAGCTCACAAATGTTCATTAATTCAGTTACTTTCACTTGCAGAATGTTTTTCTTCTATGTTTCCTTTACTACAAGTGGAACTTAAAAACCTTTCTTGTCTTCAAATATCCAACCTACTGAGGAAACTCTTCCAGTATCCTTTCCTTAAGAAGATAGGAGAGTTAAATCCCTTCCCCTGATCACAGATACTTTTTCTCCCCCTAAGCTCACCTAATTGTACTTAGACAATTGTCTGAAATCTGAAGGGAAAGATGCTCTAAAACAGTGTAGATATAGTCCAAAGCTATAGCTTTTTTTCTTACTAACTCAGATGTTGTAACAACTTTGGGAGTAAAATAGACCAGCCATTAATTTTACTTGAGATACTGTTTTCCTTTTTCTTTTTTTTTTTCTTTTTTTTTTTTTTCATTTTCAGTTAAAAGGGATCTATTACATTTTAAGTGGAAAAAGGTTTATAGAAACTAGGAGTTGTGGCTCTCAAGATTTATGAATAATTGAAGTTACTCAGCCATGAATTGTGGAAACATATATTTTTTAAGAATTTAAACATTGTTTCCTTCACGCACACACAAAATCTTTACCTAACTCCACCTGCCAGAGTTCAAGGAGCATTTGGACAATCTCTTAGCTGGGGAGACCACACTGCGGCCTTCCAATATTTGAAGGGAGCATACAAACAGGAGGTGGAACAGCTGTTTATGAGGGTGGATAGTGATAGGACAAAGGGGAATGGTTTTAAACTGAGACAGGGGAAGTTTAGGTCAGAAATTAGCAGGAAGCTTTTCACTCAGAGTGTGGTGATGCAGTGGAACAGGTTGCCCAAGTAGGCTGTGGATGCCCCATCCCCACAGGCATTCAGTGCCAGGCTGGATGTGGCTCTGGGCAGCCTGGTCTGGTGGTTGGTGACCCTGCACATAGCAGAGAGGTTGAAACTCAATGATCATTGAGGTCCTTTTCAACCCAGGCCATTCTGTGATTCTATGATTCTATGACATAGGACTTGAATTTTGGGTGGTCCTGAGTGGAGCCAGAAGTTGGATTCAGTGGTGCTTGTGGGTCCCCTTCAGCTTTGGGTATTCTGTGGTTGTAAGGCATCAGTGTAGGCTCTGCATATTTTGTTTGCACTGAAAGTCTTGCCTCCAGGTCTTGAAAGCTTACTTGGTGTCAGGTGGAACATGATGGCTTTGGGCTTCAGTGAAGAAGGCTGTTCTTACCACTGTGTTAACCTGGCTGTGGGCTGGGTCCATGCTGTCAGGGACTGGCTGTAGAACTCAGTAAGGTGAACTTCTGTTACTCTCCACTCTGAAGAGCTTTAATGTGGGCTTTTGTGACATTAGGACTTTACTTCCAGAGTTTCTCTAGGACGTGAGGTAATGGCTTTAAGTTGCGCCAGGGGAGGCTCAGGTTGGATATTAGGAAAAATTTCTTCTCAGAGAGAGTTATGAGGCATTGGCACAGGCTGCCCAGGGAGGTGGGGGAGTCACCGTCCCTGGAGGTGTTGAAGTGATGTGGAGATGTGGCACTGAGGGATGTGTTCAGTGACTATGGTGGGGATGAGTTGATGGTTGGACAGATGATCTTAGTGGTTTTTCCAACCTTAATGATTCTATGATTCATTTTTGTTACTTTTTTCCTTTCCTTTTAACTAAATGGAGAATATATTTTTTTTTAATAAATCTAGGGGTGAGTTTTTAAAAAGGTTTAGAACAAACACTTTTAATACTTGTTATGACAGTTATGCTTTTTCTTTCCAACTGATATCTTTCCTGAGTGAAGGCAGAGGTTTATGAACAGCTGTGTTAGCTTCTTAAGAGCTGGTTTTTGAAACAGTCTAATTTTTAACGAGCATTCAAATCAAACCTATAATTGGCTGTAGCTGATAACTGTACTTGAAGGGAGAGTGCTTTGCGGCTCCCACCATGATGTAGTTGGATGAGACAGCCCTGGAGTACAGGCAAGCAATTTCTTTTCCCCTTGATCCTGCTGCTTTACTCTCACTTTGTTGTCAGCATGGACCTTGATCAGGAAGAAGAAGGAGCTGACCTTGGAGGCTGAGGCTCGCACACCCTTCAAGGAAGCGTTGATCTGACAACTCCTGGCACCTCTGGCATCTTCCTTACACGGCTGCCCTCATGGGTCAAATGCTGTGCTGAAGCTCCCTTTGTTCACCCTCCCTTTGATGCTAAAAAGCTGAGACTCAGCTGTGAGAATCTTTCACAAGCAGTATCTTTTAAACAGCAAATTATTAGACTGGAGAAGGGGAGCAAGTTACATCCCCTCCAGTTTTTGCCTGTCTCCTGTGCTCCCTGTGCCTGCTGCCATCAAAGGTCTATCAAAAGCTGTAGCAGGAGGTGCTAGGAGCCTGCCTACTGCACTCATTGAAGAACTGGAGTTTGATGCAGGTGTCACTGCAGCCACCACCAATTACAGCTGTATTCAGGGGACAGCAACATGATTCAGCAAGTCAAAAACAATATAAATGAAGGAAGATTTCATAGTTCAGGGATTATGTATTTTTAGTGAGTGGTATGAGATGTAATCCAGCAAGATAGCTGCATTTTTGTGAACTTAAACACTGCTTCTGTTCCTGTCAATAGGCAATAGCATAGTGTAAAACTTGTGAAATGTTGAGAAAATAAGAACAAGGTAGGCTAAAACTTTTATCCCATCAATGCTGATAGATCCTGCAAAAAAAAATAAGTGTGTGTGTGTATATATACCTATATGTATATATATATACCTATATGTATATATATAAGTTTCTTTCGACATAGAGCTTTCCATTATGTGACAAAAGAGACCAGATTTTGAAGGCTTTCAGATTCTCTTCAGTGTGCACCACAGAGGGTGGTGGTCAATGGCTCTATGTCCAGGTGGAGGCCGGTAACAAGTGGTGTCCCCCAAGGGTCTGTCTTGGGACCGGTGCTCTTTAACATCTTTATTAATGACATCGATGAGGGAATTGAGTGCACCCTCAGCAAGTTTGCTGACGACACCAAGCTGAGTGGTGCAGTCGATACGGTGGAAGGAAGGGATGCCATTCAGAGGGACCTCGACAGGCTGGAGGGCTGGGCTCGGGTGAACCTAATGAGGTTCAACACGGCAAAGTGCAAGGTTTTGCATTTGGGCCGGAAGAACCCCAGGCACCCGTACAGGCTGGGAGGAGTGGGCCTTGAGAGCAGCTCGGCAGAGAAGGACCTGGGGGTCCTGATGGACGAGAGACTGAACATGAGCCAGCAGTGCGCTCTGGCAGCTCGAAAGGCAAATGGGATCCTGGGCTCCATCAGGAGAGGGGTGGTCAGCAGGGACAGGGAGGTGATTGTCCCTCTCTACTCGGCTCTTGTGAGGCCCCATCTGGAGTACTGTGTCCAGGTGTGGAGCCCTCAGTACAAGAAAGACATAGAGATTTTGGAAAGGGTCCAGAGGAGGGCGACTAAGATGATCAGGGGGCTGGAGCACCTCCCCTATGAGGACAGGCTGAGGGAGTTGGGCTTGTTCAGCCTGGAGAAGAGAAGGCTGCGTGGTGACCTCATTGCAGCCTATCAATACCTGAAGGGAACCTACACCCAGGAGGGGAGTAAACTCTTCAAAAGGGCTGACAACAGCAGGACTAGGGGAAATGGATCCAAGTTGAAGGAGGGAAGATTTAGGTTGGATGTTAGGGGGAAGTTCTATACAAGGAGAGTGGTTAGGCCCTGGAACGGGCTGCCCAGGGAGGTTGTGGATGCCCCGTCCTTGGATGTGTTTAAGGCCAGGTTGGACAGGGTCCTGGGCAACCTGATCTGAATGTGTGTGTTTGGTGGCCCTGCTAGGCAGGGGGGTTGGAACTACATGATCCTTGAGGTCCCTTCCAACCCGGGTGATTCTGTGATTCTGTGATTCTGTGCTGCATGAAGCGCTAAGGAAGAATTCTCTTAGATCACTTCTTAACAGTGTAGCCTTCATCCAAGCCTGCATGTGTGTTTTGTACTAGTACAAAACTTGAAAATGTATTAACTTTAAAACTTAGATGAAGTTTTCCCAACTGTGCAGAACTGCACTCCTTTGTTTTCTGGCATTATTAAAAAAAAAAATAAAAAAATAAAAAAAAAAGTGTTATTGTGTTGTTGTCATTTACAGGATATCAATAAAGTACAGTAACCTGAGAAGTCTGAATCTCTTCACATATGAGCATTATTTAAGTAATTCTTTACTGCAGGTTTCCTAAATGTGACAGAGGTGATTGGGGAGAGGCTGTAGTGCGTGGACAAGGTTACACTTACAGGCTGGTTGGCTTTTCTTGTGTTGTTATTATTTATTTATTAATTTATTTTATTTCAACTCTTCTTGTTCTTCTTCTCCACTTGAAAAAATAGGTAATTGCATTGAATGCTAACTGTAACAGACCAGGGCTCAGAATGAATGGCTAACCTTGTCCACTGTATCTATTTTAAGACATTGTATGTGTTACGTATGAAATTTACCCTGGGGAAGAAGGTAATCACCTGACATCTCTCACGTTGGATGATGGGACTTGATAGGTCAGATTGACGACTGGAATTGATCTTTGAAGATCTTTTTCAACCTAGATGATTCTGTGATTCTAAAAATTAATTCTACACCCTCTACTAGCTTTTGGCTTACAAGCTAAACGTCTCCAAGTACTGTTGTAAATTCTGGAGAGCAGAGGGCTTCTAACACCTCGGAGAGATGAATGTCTCTTGACACTGCCACTTGGAAGCTGCTGTGAACCCACAGGTGTTTGAAACAGCTTGAAGGAAAATCTGGATGTTCTTTGTGCTCTGATTCAAAGACTTGATTTTTCAGAAAATAAACATGAGTTGTGTGCTGGTCAAAATACGTGTTCACACTGAAGAGACAAATTATAATTTTTGTTTTTATTGATGTGATATTTCTTACAATTCTATTTCTACAGCTCTGGTATCACCTGCAAAGAAGAGGTTATTGGTGATTATCAGTTGATTACAGCTTCTGTAACACAAACCACCATCATGAAACACTTCCTGAGGTAACTGTTCTTTATGTTTTTTCAAGTGTTAAGTGATGATAATAATTGTTTCTATGCTGCCACGAGTGTTTTAGCTGTTATCAGCAATATGGAAAATGTGAACTATCATCTGAACTAGTTCGGATGAAATTTGCTTTCTGTTCACCTAGATTTCACTAAAGCTGTTTTAATTTAAATTTTGCTCTTCATCACTTTATAGAAACAATGTGGGAAATGTCATGTGGGTTTGGATTGCTCCATACTAGTAGTGTACCTGTGGTGCTCATTGTGTCTGGTTTTGGCAACTTGGGATTTTGGAGAACTATTTGTGAAGTTGCAGAAGGGAGGATGCTTGATGAAGATATGCAAATACTTTTGAAGCTGGTTCTGCTCCATTTGCTCTTGTGTATGACTTGCAATTGTTTTTCTGTAAACTAGCAGTGGTACAGGAGACTTGCAAGCACTGGCTTTCACTACAGAAATATAATGCTGTCTTTGTTCTGCACTCAGTGGAGAGAGTTGAATGCTCCTAGAAGTTGATACATATCAAGAGCTTAATTTGTGTATAAACCAAAGCAATCATTTTCTGTCTGGGTGGGAGAAACCTTTCTCAAGAGGACAGAAACATATGCTTCTGTATAGAGCATCTGTCACTATGTTTTTCTTTCTTTTTAGACTGTTTATAGTACACGCTATGGATATCAGCATCATAACTTCCAGTCTGATAATCTGTAATGACTGTTGCGAAGCCAGCCTTGCCCCAGGCATTTCTGTGGGATGCTTGATTTTGTTTCTTCAGGTTTTTTTTGAGTCAGCTGCAAAAAAGGCCTAAGCAGAATGTGTGCAGGTTGAAAGTGTAAAGTGGTTATTTCTTTGCTAACACCCACAAAACACAGCTGAAATGTGAGCCATTAGGTTGAGCATTAGTGTGTTCCCTTTTGACCTTATCAGGGTGGTGAGAGGGTTGGTTGCTGCAGCTCTACAGTGCAGATTCTGGATTGTCCACAGTCCTGAACACTGATTCAGTGACCTGATGGTCTATAGCCATGCTGGAGCATTCCTTCTTGAATCTTGCCAATGATTGCTGTCTCAGTACTCCTGTAACTTTACCTTTCTTTCTCTGTACAGATTTGATTATTTATTTACTTTAAGCAGCGTAACCTGAGGTTACAGATTTGTGCCATACATGATCTAGGCAATGATCATTAATAAACAATCCTCTACCACCCTATGGCTGCATGGAAGCCTCCAAGATGAAGTCACTGAGGGTTTTTTCATACAGGAGAACTCAGGCTGTTTTGATTACTTATGTTTCTCTGATGCTTTTGAAGAAACCAACTCCTTTTTTTTCATGGCATTTCTAAAGTGAATTCTAAAAGTTTTGAGAAGTCTTATGTTGTTATCTTCTCTTAGTTAGCCATGGCATAGGTCACTGTATAACCAAGATGTTATAATTTTGTATAACCAAGATGTTATAATTACAATACAATCAAGAGAGTAAGGCAAACAGACAATGATCACAAAAGAGAATAAGTGGAAGAGCTTACCCTTGGGTTGAGCTCACCAGAAGATACCAAAAGAGGGGATCTCCAGAAGAGATCCTTCCCCTCTGGTAGCCAGCTCTTAAATAGGTCCAGGAGGGGGGGAGCCTGGCTCCACCCCTTCCGGCAGCACAGGTGAATTGCCTTCACCTGTGCTCCTCTGGCTGACTCAAGGCTCACCTCAGGTGATTAATCAGAGGTTCAGGCCGTGACTCAGCAGTTCCCATACAGTCATGAAAAGCAATTTCTTGTTTAATGAATTGTTATAGGACTTAATTATGAAACACTCTGTGTTCTGAATGTAGAACAGAAGGTGAGGTTAACGGGGGATAGAACACAGCACCTCAAACAAGAAAACACTTGAAATGGGAAAACTATTCTGTTTACTTACAAGAATCTGGATTTTTCTGTATTTGAGATGAATCCTTTAACATTAGACTGATATGAGTATTATACTGCTCAAATTTATTATGCATTAAGAAGATACAAGGATGTTAAGAAATAAACTATAGTCGTTCTTCAAGAAGACTGCTTACTGGCAACAGCAAGTTCTGTTGCACAGTACTGCTGCAGTTTCAGGCTTCTGTGATAATGAATAAAGCAGTTAAGTGTAGATCTGCAGGCAGACTTCTGTGCAAGACATTGATATTTAGCCTTCCAGCTTGGAAATCAGCTGGGAAATAAAAAAGTTAACATATGTTGTTTGATATTTGGTAGTTTTTGTCTATCAGCAAGCTCCCTCAGCTGCTATGTAGGTCAGTTTGTCCTGAACTGCTTGTTAAGATCAAATGCAGTGTGCTGCTGGTGAGGACTGCTCAGTGTTACAATGCTTTCCTAGGTGCACAAAATGGAGCAAGAATTGGACTAGTTGATGCTGATGGTATCTATAGTTTATGAAACTTCAATTTTCCTACTTGGACTTATCTGTGTCTCTTGTAAAGCAAGTACAGCTGTGAATGCAGCACTCCAGATGTCTCACCAAATCTGAGCAGAGAAGGATCCCTTTCCTACGTATCCACAAGTATATGAAGCTGTAAGGGCCTCACATGAAAGGGAATGTTGGCTACACTACCAAGACTGCAATTGCTCAGTTTGTACAAATAACACTTATACTCATATTTAAAGGAAGGCAGCAAGAAATTGTTTGCTTTATGCTATTGACATGGGTAAGCTCTTTTACATAAAGGTAATAAATCTTTTCCTGCTGATATTTGTACATCAGACAAGTATAAAACATCACTTTAAAAACTGTGGCATACAGTTTTACTTCTGATGCATATATTTACTCAAGATGTGGGTTGGATAGTTTAGGGTTTTGTTTTTGGGGGAACCTTTGATTGTGTTGTGTATTGCTTGTTTTGATTTCTTTGTGTATGTTTTTTTGTTTGTTTGTTTGTTTGTTTGTTTTTTAAGACATCCTCTCAAAGGCAGTCTTTACCTGGTTCAAAATGGCTTGACTATGAAGTTCCTTATCTTCTTTGGCAGTCACCATCACTGCTTAAACTGAAAAGTGAAATTGATGGTCTAAAAGTAGCTTAGAAATATTGCTCGTAATCTATGAACTCCAAATTCAGACACTGAATGAGGCATTAATTAAAAAGATGTGAGGAAAATGTGTCCTCTGGTGCCATGTAGTAAGACAGTCTTTGATAAACTGAAGTCCTAATGTGCTTGAACAATTAAAATGCAAAAAACTCAAAATGAGTCATAAATTGATTCAGTTGCTTATGCGTTCTGATTAGTCATTCTGAAATACTTCCTATGTTCCTGTCTGTCACAGAACTGTATTGCACATCTGCAAAGCCAAGAAGGGGATGTGCTTACTTATGCAAGTGATAGTTGTTTTGATGTCTGGATATTTTATGAATATTTTCTAAGATTGTCATTTTTAGACATCAGTGTCTTTAAAGTAGCTGCAGTGTCTTTGCCTCTTCGTTTACTGTTTTTCAACAGCTGCTGCTTTCCAGTGGGAAAAACGTTTTTTACATCAACACTCCAGTAACTGGAATAACTATAAACCCAAGAGCTTTTCACCAGTAATCTGCAGGACTCTTATCTTCCTGACAGTGTTTATACCTCTAGTCCAAGGCTATGTCTGAATGAAAGCAGCTGTTGTGTGTTTCTTTTCTTTTGCAGCTTGCTCTTATCTGAATTATCCCTGAAGTTTAAAATATTATTTATTAAATAATAGAACTTTTCCTCAGAGAAATGTTTAAACCTTCCATGTTTTTTGTTTTTTTGCTTTTTGTTTTCGTAAAGAGTTTTGAGGAGTCTCTTGGTGACACTTCCACACTTCCACCTTGATCGTAACTTACATTACAATTGTGTAACTTGGAGAACCACCTGTGGCAGACATTTTAGCTTCTGTCAGTAAATCCTAAAGACTTCTGACAGCAAAAGAGTCAATGAGCACCAGCGATTTTAAGAACAAGTTCTGTTTTTTTTGGAGTTCCATCAGATGAAATGAAAATAAGGCCAGTAGAAAGCAAAAGAAGAGAGTGTGGAAAGCTGCTGTTAAAAAACTACTTTTATATGTTCTCTTGTTCCTATGGTGACTTGCTTTCATCTCTAAATGGGGAAATGAGTTTCAGTTGTCAAATCCGAAAAAGTACAGAACGTAAATTTCTTTTAGTTAATAGCATGCTTGTGTATGGCAGAAATGATGACTGGTAATTACTCCTTGGTTGAGCTTCTGTACCCAGTTTTGGTTGCACAAATAAGCCAAAAGATGGTCAGATTCTCACAGTGCTGTATCACTTGCTCAATCACTTATTGGTTCATCTTGTCCATGCACAGCTAAACAGTTTGTCTTCTTGGGTCTTTATCCTGTTGTGCAACGCTTTCTTTACCAAACTATTTTTCAGGAAAAATAATTGCATAGGTACTTTTCCTATCCATAGAACCTAGAACAGGATTTGGTGTTGTGCCCAGTGACAGAACAAGGTACAATGGGCACAAGCTAAGACAAGAAGTCTGAACATGAGGAAGAATTTCTTTACTGTGAGGGTGACAGAGCACTGCAACAGGCTGCCCAGAGAGGTTGTGAAGTCTCCTTCCCTGCAGATACTCAAAACCCTCCTGGGTGCTTTCCTGTCCAATCTACTGTAGGGAACTTGCTTTAGCAGGGGATTGGATTAGGTGATCACCAGAGGTCCCTTCTAACCCCTGTGATTTTGTAGTTTCCCAGCTTTAGTTACATTTTCATTTTACCCAGGGTATTTATTCAGTTTGCTATTAGCTCTGAAAATACTAAAGTTCTGAAACTACCAGAGAAGGTGTTGGAAAGGAAGGGAAAGTACACAGAAACTGATAAAATAGAATGTGTTTATCCATTTCAGAAATGTTTCACAGAAACTCTTGTCTATTTCCGCTTGTGTCAGTGGAGCACTGATTATAAACACTTGTTATTTAGACTGTCGTGATGGTGGCTTTGAGCATTGGATAGCGCTTCATAAGTCTCTTCCAGGCATGCAAGGAAATGCATATTCATTTCTAAAGTCCAGTATACTTTTCCTCTGTATTGACATCAGAGTTCAGTGATGCCTTTTGAGTGCCAATCTGGCAGAGTTATGCCAAGCTGCATTGTGATTTTCTCAGGAAGCTTCTGACCTCCAAGTGACTGGTATCAATGACTAGGAATGTTTCATCTGACTTCTTGTGGGACAGTTGTCTTTCCTCTCGGATGGTATTCTCAACACAGGAACTGTCTGTTCTTTAGGCCTGCGTGCATTAGCGTGTTATCACACAGTTTTTCAATTTTACCTGAGAGGACATTAATGTGAACTCTTCTAAGGTACTTTTCATGTATAAACACAAACTGTAGACCTGTACTGTTGTATGCAGTATGGGAGGAGGAGGAGCTCAGGTCAGGATGAGAAAGGGTAAAGTCTCTTAAGAATGTCTTCCTTTCTGTAATGCTCCTGCACTTGAAGTTCACTTCAGGAACTGAAGCATAGTTGTGCAAACCCTTCTGAAAACTGAATAACTACACAGACTGGTAGGGAAGCACGCTGTTTTCCATGCCAAGAAAACCTTCAAGGCCAAGCAGGGGGAAAAAGCCAAAAAAACACTGAGATTCAGTGGAGAGAAGGTCTAGAATTGCTCTAAAACAAACAAGTTAATGCACCACAGTAGTCAGACGTGGTTAAGGCAAGACTTCTGTGAGGGTTCTTTGTAGTATTCTGTGTCTTCTATTATAGCTACCACAGTGCTTCTGCTTTACTGAAGTGCAAAGCAGACAAAATAAAAGTTAACTCATTCACAAGTGTGCTTTATTACAGGACTTCTGCCAGCAAGAGTTCTGCTTTGTAAAGAACAGCTCCTTGAAAACAAGCTTGTGTTACTTTTTATGCTGTTCATGGTATAAACAGAAGATTTCAGCTGTTGTAATCTTGAGATGGATGAGTAGTAGAGAAATGAAGGTATCTTCAAAGGCAAACTTTATTCTATAAGTGACTATAAGTCAAAACTAGTGTTTGTCTGCTTTATTTGCTATAGCTGCTAAGTATGTTTTAGTGAATCACATGCAGTGTTTGTGTGTCGTAGTGACTTTCTGTAGTAGATACATTTTTATGTAGCTAATTTTTGTTCAGACCATAGCCAAAGCAAAATTTCAGTTCTAAATGTGATTGGAACCATGAAATATCACAGCTCATCCCATTTAGAATTTTTCCTTTGATTTGTTAATATGCCATTGAATATAAAGGCAGCAACATATAATCAAAACTGTAATTCAAATGCACCTAACACATTCTGTTTTTCTTTCTATTGGGAATTTATCCACATCACACAATATGATAAGAAAGAAAGTTCTGAACAATAAAGTGAGTTGTGATGTTTCTGCCCTAGAGGTAATTAAGTGCAGACATGAACTTTCTTACAGGAGTTTTGTTTTGATTTGGATTTTTAATGGAATTCATTTCCTTCATTAGAAGGAAATCTCATGTGGGCTGTTGCATGAAGTTAAGCAAACCTTTCCTCCTTTCCATATAAATGAGGTCTCTGGGTAAGGGATTGAAAGCAAACAAGACTAAAAGGAGAATGAGTAGCTTAATCTCTGCTACGGATGTTTGATGAAAGCCCAGAACTTTGACGTTCTCCACCTTCCATATGAAGGTGGATGTTGATTATTGCATGCATTTCTCTAGACCTTTAGCCTGAGCACAGAGCTGGGTCCTGCTGAGAAGGCTGAGGGATGGCTATATATGTTGTATTTTGATTCTTGGTGTGGGAGGACAGGCGTTAAGTCAACTCTTTGATACCAGACATCTACTTGAAGAACTGAAATGCATAGTGTGAAATTATGGTCACTATGAGATGTTGCAGCTGAAGGTATCAGTTGACTCTGTATGAGACTTACTCTTTAAATGTCTTACACTTCTGACTATTTGACAAATGATGGACTTATCTTCTGATAGCTGTTCTTGTTCTTAATACTGCATTGATTGCCTCCCGTGCAACAGTGTGTCTCACAACAGTGTGTTCTGGCTCATGTTGGGATGGGAGAACCCAAATATTTCCAGGTCAGCAGCTGAAACTTTTTCAACTGGCCCAAAACTTGATTCCAGCCTGGGAGTCTTTCTTCTTTGAGTTTCACTTCCTATCTTTATGCAACAGGAATCCTCTGCTGCATAAAGACGAGGGGTTTTCCTATACATAGGCATTTAGGAGTGTTAAGTGAATTAACTAAAAGTGTGAAGATAAAATGGATGTTTTTAAAGCATGCTAAATACTTGTGTGAATGCCCTCCATTTAAACATAAAATGGTTTTAGTTCCCTTTAGTTTAATCCCTCTTCAAAGGAGATTAAGCTAAAGTGAGCATAAAGCAGATTAAACTCCTGTGTGGACTTTAACATGAGTTAACTTATCTTCCCTTTCCTGAATGTCCTTCTGCAGCATGCCCTTCAGATTGTGCTGTGAAACGATGGAGCTCTTTCAGCTTTATTAAAGCTGTACTGATTTAAGTATCTGGAATTTAGTATTTTCAGAATAACCAATGACTCCCCTGTAAAAGATAGTAATTTGTCTTTTAACAGATAAATTTCCTTTGAAAGTGTCAAAACTGTGTGGAACAGATAATAGGCTCATGATGAATGCACTTACAACATAAAGGATCAAATAATTTCTGACCATACAACAGCAAGCTAGCTTATTAAAGTTGTATGGATGCTTTCATAGGATATAGATACGGAGTGATTGCAATTGGAAGGGACCGCTGGACACGACCTGATCCAACACTCTGTTCAAGCATGAGCTACTTAGAGGGGGATATCCAAGACCAGCCCAGATGCTAGTGTTTTCATTGTCAGGTCTTGGCAATTTGCCTTTTCTCGGATGAGCTTTTGACCTCAAGGATACAGTGATTTGTGCCACATCTCATGTCATGGTGCTTTCAAGGGGGTTAGACACTTGGGTAACATGGCAGAGGCCAGGCCTTCATAGTGGTAGCGCTTTCTTATTAGAAAGCCAAATTATGCCTGCCAATTGTAGCCCATGAAAATTGTTTTTGGGGTGGGTTTATATAACTGCAATAGCCTGTGGTGTGTGGGCATGATAGCAGCTGCAATGCTTTAAAAAAAAAAAGTCAAAAACAACCACACAACTTGAAAATAGAGCATTTCTCATGTATTTGTTTGTTTCCTGACTTCATAGGGTCACAGGATAATTCAGACCATAAGAGGCCTCAGGAAAACTCTTGTCCTTAAACAGTCATCAAGATAAATGTTTATAGTGTCAATACAGGTTATGGTTTAAAGCTGCTTCTAGGCAATGGATGTTTTAGGGGTCAGGAAGGCCGTTCAGTCTCTGTGGTGACCTTGTTTAAACAAGGCTCTGCTCTAGACTTATTTTCAGACTTTTTTTTTTCCCCTGACAGAATGTTTATCCAGGTATGCCTGTACTTCTACTGCAAGTGCTTGTGGCGCTGCCTGAAGTTTGTGGTCAGGAAACTAACGGGGCGATGTGAATTGCAAAGGATCTGTTACAATACCAAGCCTGGAGCTGCCAGAACTATGAAAATAGGTAACTGAATTAATTAATTCTTCAAGCCTTTGTACCTTTCTGTATGTGCTAAAAATAGTATGACTTTGTTTAAAAAACAATAACAAGCTACATTTTTACTGGATTCATTTAAAATTGTCTGATGCAATGTTTTCAATTACTGTTCTCTTACAGAGGCATCACTGAAAGGTTCAAAAAGTAAGGTGAGTGAAAGATCTGGTAATTCACTTTTCCTATTGTGTCCTGCCCAGTTTTGTTTGGTTGGCTGTTTGCTTACCATATAAAAATCACTGTAGGTTTTTATATAATCTCACATTAAAAACATCTCCGACTGAGGAGAGAGCTGTGACCACCATGGCAGGTGGCCTTACAAAGCTGGAGAGTGCCGTATGCTGCAGGGACAGTCACAGTGTGGCACTAGTGGAATCAAGTGAGCAATAGGCCACAGCGGAGACAAGGGTGGTGTTCTGTAATTGAGGGTTTCTTAGGTGATTTCCTCATGATAGAATTGTGAAAATGATAGAATGGCTCGTGTTGGAAAGAACCTTAAAGATATCCAGTTCCAGCCCCCTGCCATGGGCAGGGTTGCCACCCACCAGCTGAGGCTCCCCAGGGCTCCATCCAACCTGGCCTCGAATGCCTGCAGGGATGGGGCATCCACAGCTCTCTGGACTGCCAGTGCTGCTGCCTCACCACCCTCTGAATTAAATTTTTCTTCCTGACATCTAATCTAAATTTCCCCTCTTTTAGTTTAAAATCATTTCTCCATATCTTATTACTATCAGCCCGTGTAAAAAGTTGGTTCCACTCCTCCTTATAAATTCATCCTGCCCTAGAGTTTATGTAATCTACAGTCAGTTACTTAAATGCTTTATGCCTCAGTTTATTTGCCTTTAAAGCAGGAGTAAGAGAAGTTGAAGGCAGCAGTGCCAAGATAGTCATAAAAACTTTGTTCATTCTTTTTAAATACACTGATGGGAAAGACTCTTCCACTTCATCCTTTCACTGTAACACTGTGCTTCTCACTAATCTGAAACAAAGCATTTGTATGTGCATTAAGTTCACTCAACCATTTATTCCTCCTACATGTTGAGAACCAGTGTTGGTGAAAAGATTACCTCAGAGTTAGCAAAAACAGTATCACATTGGCTGCAGTTGCACTAAATGTATATTTGCCTAATCAGAAAGGCAGAATCTTGTAAGACTGCATCTAGGCAACTCGAATTGTTTAATTCTGAGACAGATCACCACAAATCTCAAGCTCTCAATTTTTGGAAGGCTTGATGATTTCTTTGAAATACTGAATTTCATGAGTCATTTGCACGGCAATGATATGCAAGAGGAATGAAAGATGTATTTTTGTTACTGAATGAAGGCTAGCAATCCCAGTAGAGCTAGGTAGCTAGGTTGGTGGTCTGAAGCTGCCGTTCAGTCGGGAGACTCCATGCAAATTGTCTTCACTGGCATCTCCTGCAGACATGTACTAGACTGGCCACATGGGCATGGACAATTGTGAGGACAGTGCTCTGCATCTAGTCAGTAGGGCTAGGAGTGTGTGTGTGTGTGTGTGTGTGTAGAGTTGACCCTTCTGGGCTGTTAATCTAGAAGCTGTTGGGTATCAAGTTTGCTATTGCTAACATATTGATTCCTGTGGAAGCTATTGTTCAATATATATCCTTAAAACTTCTTTTTAGCGGCTGCAAACTTCAGTAAGTGTTCACCCTGATGCTATTGAAAAAACTATAGATGACATCATGGAGCTGAAAAAGATTAATCCAGATATAAATCCACAGTAAGTTCATGACTTTCTTACGAAACAAATGGGAATTATTGATTTCTTTTCAGTACCCAGGTCCATAGAGAACTAGTTCTTCCTAGCTATTTTGGTACACAACTTGAAGATAAATCTTGTTTTTTGGTGTAAAGCTTTGCTGTCAAAAAAAACAATGAAAAAATGAATACCCTTTTATGGGGACTGTAATAGGAAAGTCCTGAGTATCTGCTTCCTGAATCATATTGTCTTAGTATATTGTTGATACATTGATTTATGGGGGCCAATTCCCCAGGGATAAAATACTGCCAATGCAAGTGGTCATGGAAATGACAGTGATGGCTTCTTAGCAAAGCTGTAGGGAAGAAATTGGTCTGTCATAACCAGTAAGCCAGTATATCATTTCTGTAGTTTTAAAACTGCTTTGAGTTATTCAAACACAATCTTAAACAGTACGCACTTTTTTTTTGTGCTATTGGTTGGAACCATTAATGTCTGGCTAACCCTTGCTGTCCCAGATTGACTGCTGAAATTTCCAATTCTAATCTCACAATATTTTAGGGAGTTGAGCACTAACTGTCCAAGCTTTCGGGATTTTTTTGTATATGGTAATTCCATAGCTTGGCTTACAAAGTAGTGGTATTGTCACAAATACTCTATTTTTAAGTGGGAAAAGGAGGAGGGTGCCTCAGCTCAATGTTTCAGTGTTTCACAGCTGAAATTCAGAAAAAAAATTCAGAAAAAATAAAACAGCAGTGAAAAATTAATGACAGTAACACACAAGGAAAGCCTACATGTAAATGCAAATGTGCACAGCTCAGAGCCTGACCTGTGGACTTTGTGAGCCATAGCATTAGCAGTTGGGCTAAGTGAAGTATTCTCTTTCCATTATTGCACCTTTGAGTAACAGGGTGGAATAATGCCAAGAAGAAACATGGAACTATTTAAAATATTATTTCATGTGACACCAGCAATCATCTGGCTATCCCTATGGCATTGCCTTTGGCTTCTGAGGAGAAGTTGTCTTCTAGAAGACAGGGAGAGAAAGGGTTTAAATGTTCTGTACTTGTTCAGGCCCTTGACTACATTTGAATGATTTGGTCCTAATATAAGGGAAAGAAAACCTTAGTATTTTTAATTTAATCAAGGTATTGTTCATATGCTTAGCATGGAACAAATGCTGAATTGTTTTTAAGCTAGAAACTGTGCATTTAGCATTGTATAGGGCTGAGTCTTTCATACCCATGCTCCCTTCCTTGGTATCCTCCTTTAATTTGCAGAGACCTTTTCCAAGCAATGAGGAATATTGGTCTGGGGCATGTAAGGTGGTGCCACTTTTACAGAAGCAAACCCTGCCACTAAATTGCTCCTTAATGTTAATTGATTGAAGTTTAGCTAAACTTTAATAATCTGGAGTAAACTTTCATGTGTGACACACTTAGGTTATATTAAACTCTTCTGGAGAAATTTCAGCAGGAGCAGGTCAGGTATGTCTTTAGGCAGGATTAAGAAAAATCCATTGGTTTGCCTATTCTCAAATGTCGCAAAACCTGCATCCAAACTGTCTTGTTCAGAAGCTCTGACCTTCCCTTGCATGGCAGAGACATAACATCTCCTCAGGTAAGGACAAGGGGACATGTGTCATGCTATGTGTTTCTGTAAATCTGTGTGCAGTCATTTTTGTTCATGCAGCATCTTTGCAGAGCAGAGCTACCATCCCAGGAATGTTTGCACTAAGCTGTTTTGCAGGCCATGGGTGGCTGTGATCTGAGAAGAAGGTGGTCCCGTTTACCAATACCTTTGAAATAAGGATATATATTTCATGGTGGGAGCAAGTTAGCTGAGTAACCAGGTGGCAGTGCCTGCTGTTTGGTTATTTTGTAGTTAAAAACACAGTGGCTGTGGCTTAGCGATGCACTCTGGCAATTCTATCAGGCTTTTTATCTTCCTTTGAAATGCAGCCTTTCTACAAAATGGTAGGGAATAGCAAGTGAAGCATATGAAAACCAAACATCAAACGGGGGAAATGCTGCTTAGATTATTCCAAAAGGGTTACAGGCACAAACAGCATGCAGTTGCAGCAGGAGAAATGGCCTAATGATGACATCCCTTATTCTGTGTATTAATCTCAAAAGATAAGCAGTGAAAATCCTTCTGCTCAAAACTCTTGATAGTATTAAGGAATAAACAAAATGTTTCAGTGCACCAAACAGGACAAATGAAGAACCTGTACAGCTTAATACATATCTACCATTAGTGCAGCCCAGTTCAACTAAAAAAAAAAAAACCTTATTCCTGTGCATGATCAAATATTCTTATAACCATGGCTGTGTTATACCGTGTAACTTGCATTTTACAGTAAAACTTTAACCTAAAACTAGGTAAATTGTAATTTAAAGCCTTAGGAGTCATGTTGGCTTCTTTCTTTCTTTTTTTAGTTTTTATGATGCATCAAGTTGATGAACATTACAAAAATAGAAAAAAAGAGCCATTAATGTGACTCTTAACAAGAGACAGAAAGGAAAAAAACATCTGCCTATAGGCAGATCTTTCAACTGTGTTACTTCAGGTTTTTAGCTTTTTTATGTGGGCTCTTGTGACGTGGAAATAAAATGCTTATTTTTAGCTTTTTGCTGAGTTTCCCCCTGTCCTTTTTAAATTCACTTCCCTGGTCTCAGGGCATTGTTTGGGAAGCTGCCATTTGAACAAGGGGAAAGATTCAGTGATGTGCTTATAACAGATGTTGAAAGCTGCTGTGTATTGTTATGAGACTTCTGTACGTGAAAATTCACCATTTCAGTCAGTCATTTTTTAAATCAAAGCAGTGTGCAAAATAAGACTATGCATTTCATAAAACCTTGTTTAATGTAATATTCATCTCTTGCAAATCTCCCGCAGTAATTAAAACATTGGATTATTAATTTGTTGATGTAATATTACACATGCTTTAAACAGGTATGTATGCTGTAGTGCTGTGACATGAGTGAACTGAATTGTGTCTCCTTCCACCCTCAGGCTGGGAGTATCTCTTCAGGCCTGCCTGCTGCAGATCGTTGGGTACAGAAATCTGATTGTAGAGGTTGAAAAGCTGCGCCGAGAGCCGTATGATTCAGAGAATCTGCAACATGAGGAAATGCTTTTGAAGGTAGGTACTTAAGAGACATTGATAGAGCATCCTTTATTCATCCCACCTCCAAAGGGCTGGTCTATAAACTTCTCAGTGCTTTATCTTCTTCCTGCATTGTGTACCTGCTTCAAGATCAGTCTGCAAGGCATACTGGGTGTAGCACATTCTGTGTGTAACACCAACACATACAAATAGTCCGGGTACCTTCCAAGCGAGCAGCTTATTCCTTGTTGATGAACACATGTCAGTTGGCTGGATTATATCTAGGTAATGAATATGCAGTGCTTTCTGCAGATAACAGCTCTGTGCTGTAAGTTCTAGAAAAACAGCAGTATGTCCTACTTACATACAACTTTCTTCAAGATGAGAAGGATATTTTTACATCTTATAACCAGAATAAACACTTCTTCTCCTTGGCTTCCTGAATTCTTAAAGATAACACTTGTGTATTGGTGATACTAAATGTGTTGGTAAATTCCTATTTACCAATAGAAATAGAAAATAGGCCATTCTTCAGTATAATACATGAACAATTATTAAAGCTATCCCAGTGGAGTTTTAATTCATGGTTGAAAGAAAACATTGCATAAAAATAAATGTGTTTTGAGGAAGGTGATCTTGAAACTGTAAGCAGGAAGACAGCTATAGACCTCTTAGATTGTAAAGCAACCGAGGAGAGAATTTTCAGAGGTTTAAAAAAAAAGATAAGGTAGTATGGTTTTGTTATTTAAACAAAAATACTGGAAACTTGAGACAAGTTGTTTTTGGTTCTGCTCCCACTCAAATTTTTGTTTTTAGCAACAAGTGGTGATGCTATTGTCTTTCATACTACAGTTCGTCACCTAGTGGCTTATACAAGTTATAGTGAAAACTTCTGGGAATGCCACTGTACTGAACTTGGGCTTCCAGATACTTACAGAAAATCCCACTGGGCATCCTACATACTTCTCAAATGGTCACAGAATTCCTGTAGGTGTCTGAAAAGCTATTTTTAAGGGTTAGCTCCTTGCTGGGAGGTGGAAGTCTGGACTGGAAGGAGTCTATCTAGAACCAATTTTAGCCACAAAGGCAGAATAGGACAGATAGACTTCTGCTGCTGTGCAATCAAAAGTGTAATTTTCTGGGGCTGCAGAGGACTTCAATTTGAAGGCCACACAGACTTATCAGTGAGGAAGCTCACGTGTGGGAGATTAGAGTTCCTGGTGCCAGTCTACAATCTTGGTCTTTGATAATACCAGGTTCCTGGCTAAAGGTCTAATGTGAAGGACTTTGGTTCCAAGAAGGCATTCTTAAACTTGTGCATCTACACCGCTTGGAGAGTAAGAATTGGGTATGAGGGGATCACAGGTGAGGAGCACTGGGATCTGGTTCTTTTTTCCTAGTCACCTGGTCTTTGGGGACATGTTTCTTAGATGTCTATGAAAATAGCAGCTGTAATGTCTAGTCACATGGCATTAAAAGTGGAATAAAAGCTTAACGGAACCTGAGCATTTGGTGGAAGGAAGCTAAACAGTATACCTTATGCTGTAAAATTCTAGGTGTTGAAAAAGTACCAGTAACTCCACATCTCCAGAGTAACCTGTGCAACAGCACTTCTTCAGAGCAGGCTTTTTGCTATTGTGAATTGTCATGTCAAACAAAAATATGTCCAAGGGTGTAATTGAGCTTTCAGCTCACACTGGGGAAGAATAAGCCAGTTGGTTTTCATTGCTTCTAGGTATTATGCTGAGTGATCTCTGCAATGGGTAATTTGAGATCCTAATGTCTATTATTTATTCATGCTTACCAAGAGGGCAATTTATGAATGAGAGGAAAATTAAGTTAATGTGATTGAACTAATAAATAATACTACATTTAGTGTCAGTGAGTGAAGTGTCAGGGAGTGAACAAGGAAGATGTCAAACATGATTTAAACAACACATGATGCTTTAGATAATCATTGCAAACTAAAATCATTGGAAGTTTTAACCTTCTAAAGGTATTTAATTTAAAATTCAGTTTGAATTGCTAAAATTAATACAGATTCAGAGTGGATTATCTGGAAATGTGCATACTGCTGTTTTTCTTGGAGAGGCTTCATCTGACTGTGTCTTGAGGCCCTACTCACCAGCTATGGTTTATGGAGAGCACTTATTTCTCAACGCACTTCAGAAAGCATGGATTTGTGATACAGCACATAAGATCTGCAGAAAGTTATGCATTTGTCAGGCAGGTCTATTTAGTCTGCTTTTAGATGCCTAGCAACATGATATTTAAGTGCTGGAGCTAAGTGTTTTTTTTTTCCAGCTGAGGATCTGACTTCTTAAATCATTTTTTGCTTTTTTATAATTTAATCTTTATGTGAGATCAATGAATGATTCACCCCTCAGTTAAATATGAAGGTGGAACGTGCTATTCCTATATGGATTTTTGTTTTTATGTTTTCTGATCTGCTCTTTAACGCTGTGGTAGCCAAGTCAGCACTCTCGATTTATAACCCTTCTGGAGACTTGCAAAACACACTGGGGATAAGATTGCTGCAGAGCCTCAGGGATCAGAGGGCTGATTGCTTGCCTCTCTGCCAATGATTTACAGCCAAGTTCCAGCCCATTCCCATCTCGGTGCTTAGGGAGACAGGCTCTAGTTTGAAGCACAAAGCACAAAGCGAGCCCTTGCGTGAGATGTTCAGGTCAGAAGGTCTTTGTAGGGCTCAAACAGCCACGATATTTGAGATTTTGGAGATTTTGTTTATTTATCTTTTTTCCCCTGGCTCTCCTCATATCCAGAAATTTCATTTGTTCTTATGGTCTGGTTGCTGGAATGGCAGTACAATTATGTGAAACTTACCTTGCTTTTAAGAGCATAAGAAGTCATGCTGATATGTGGAGGTGTAATTATATTCTACCTGTGATCTTTCTAGTTATGGAAGTGCTTGAAGCCCAATTCACCACTGAAAGCTCGGATTTCGAAGCAGTGGTGTGAAATTGGTTTCCAAGGTGATGATCCTAAAACAGACTTTAGAGGGATGGGTCTCCTGGGCTTATATAACTTGGTGTAAGTATGCTCCTTATAGATATATTTGTGTGTCAGAAGCTGTGACAAGCAGCATTATGTGCTGACTTTTTAGCAAGTCCAAAGAAATAACTTCTAAAAGCATTAGGGATTCCATATCAAAAACTTGAAAGAATATTTTCTGTCTCAGTTTTTAGGGAGAGAGGTTTCTCTTCTTGAATGGCTCTCATTTCTTACAGTATTCCTCATTCAACAAGGTTACACCATTTGCTAAGACTTATATATATATTTTTTAAACCCTTTTTAGTTTCTCTGTGAAACAGTAACTTAACACTCTCTTCCCACAAGAGAGTAACTGTAAAGTATGTTTTTAACAATATCTACATCTCTGTAGGCAAAATGACCTGGAAGTGGGTGGATAAGAGGGTTACGTTACTGCTCAGCTTTCTTATTTTGGAATTCCATGCTGAATTCTTAGGTAAAACACTTGAAATGCAGCCACTGATGGCAGACTACTGTAGTTGCACTACTTGTACAATTTCTTTCTGTACCCAAAATCAAGCAACAAATTCACACAACTATTTCCTTCTGCCTTGCGCAGGCCAGCTGTTTGCTAACATCTGGGGCTGGCAATTTAGGAATCAATCAGGTTCTGTTATTTCCTTCAGCCAGTGTATCTACTGCAAGTAGTTACATAATTTTAGCAAATGTTTTACCCCTCCCTATGAGAGGGAAAAAAATACTTCCTGCTTTTACATAACAAAATACAGAAAAAATCACCAACTTGTTGTGTCATTCTCTGTCCAAGATAAGTGAAGGATATGAACTCTTGAATCTGGATTTGAGCTCCCACTGGACAGGAATCCTTCCACGTATTTAATTTCATAGACTCCTGTGATGACTTTTACCTCTCTTAATGAATCTACCAGATCAAGAAGTCTGATCTGCTTTATCTTGAGCTCAGCAGCCAATGTATGCTAGCAGTAAGCAACAGATCTTATGTAGGGCAGGCAGAAAGAGGAGTCTGCTAACCCATGCTCACCAGCAGTTCGTGGAATTGCACTTGTCATTTGAGCCTGCTTTTATCTTTCTTTTTGTGGATCTGAGTTTAATGAATTCCAGTTGTTAGATGCTACTGTATATATACTGCATGTAGTGACACTTAAAAGAGCTGGGGCTGGTGAGTGTGGATAGCTAGATTCCTAAGATTTCTTTTGCTGTCTTTGTTTACAATTTACCCTAATCATATACATCCGCAGGTATTTTGCTGAATGGGACACTGAGGTAGCCCAACAAGTTCTTTCTGATTCTCTTCATCCTAAATACAGGTAATGCATGAGGCAAGCAAAGAGTAACTTGAGAGAATATTGTGCTGGCTATTGGCCTGGGAAGGGTGCTGTGTGTTCCCTTGGTGGGGTATTGGCATGTGCTATCTGTTTTCAAGTGCTGATCCTGAAAGCTGATCAAATTCAAGAGGCACGCTTGTATACTGAAATCTTCAAAATAGTGAAACCTACTGTTAAATGTTTTCACTTAATTTCTAATTTCAAGTGGTTTTATATTTTTATTTACCTTTGTTGTTTTTGTTTTTGCTTTGTTTTGTTTTGTCTTTTCATAATGAAGGGAAGTCACTAAGAAGGAAATAAGGTATTTTTTTTTTTCTTTTCTCTTAGTTTTATGAGACTACATGTAAATAAGATCAAACCATACTGCGCTGCTGTGTTTATAAACTGAAAACCTTTCTTACAAAACCAAGAGAATCCCATTCCCTTTCTCCAAATGCCACGGTGCTAACTCATTTATATGACTGTGCAACTCTGGGACCCTCTGAGCATGCTAATATATAAAGAATGAAACCAGCCTTCCTTGATATAGCTGGAGAACTCTGTTTTAGACATATTTAGTACCAAATTTAACCAACAAATTTTAGGTGAATTTTAAGGGGGGTAGGAAATTGTAGGCAGTCCAAATATGCTCATGCCAGCTGTGACTGACTTGGTAATCAAAAGTAGTCTATGCCAAGAGTTTGCTAACACAGCTGAAATAACTCATTACATTCTCCTCTTACTTATATTCACATACTTTGACTACCTTAGGTAGTGATTGCTCTAAGCTGCCTAGTTTAATGTTTTGACTTCTGAAAGATCAGGTGCCTTCAGATGACAAAAAGTTTGCACTGTGAGTAAGATCATTCCATCAGGACTAGGGGAATTGATGCTTCTTAGCCAGTGCAACAGAAATCAGTTGTCTCAGAATATTTTTTTTCCTTCTACCTGTAACCAGTAGTGATAGATACCCGTATAGCATGTGCACATGTGAATCTTGTAAAACTTTTTAACTCAGTATTTTGTAGTGAAGTCCCTAATGGTAATTCTGTGACAAAAAGCACTTGTAGGGTCAGATGGAATAAAAGCACAATAGACTCTGAGCTTTGATTTAAACCCTCACATTCGGTTTGTCTGGGCCGTCTTTTTATATATTGGCATTCACTCTCTCACTATAAGCACCCCCCAGATTTGGTCTGCCCTTTATGTATTGTGCTGTGCATGGATGCTTTGTTAATGTGTGCTGATGGACAGGGATTGCCATGATGCTTAAACAGCATCATAGAAAATAGCCAAAACTTTGTTTAATTAAACATAAGACTTACATTGGAAATAGAGCAATGCTGCACAAGTGATGAGTGTTCAGTGCTGGGCTGGAAATCCTGTGTTCTTCATTTACATGTGTGATTGCCAAGGCTTGCAGTGCTGTGTGAGCATGTGCAGTTCTTATCCCTTGAAAGAGCATTCACTAGAAGATGGATGCAGCTCATGGTGCCTGTGGTGTTCTCCTGGTGTGGTTGCTTAGCAGCAGTGCTGATTTCTGACGTGATAATGATCAATGTAGTTCCTATTTTTGTTGAACTGCACTGCTTGTGCACCTCCTAAGTGTGCTGCCTTTGTTAAACGTTTGCTTGGGGTTTTTTATTGATGTTATGCCACAACCTACAAAAATGGCTACATTTGTTGAGAATAAGTATGCATTGGTGTGTACTTATGCACCAAGCCATTTAGGATGCAAAGTTTTGTTCCAACTTATATCACTTGGTAACAGATCAGGATAGGTGTGAACCCCTCTGAATCTTTAATACTTAAAGGAAATATCTCTTTAGCACTACATTTGAGTGAAATCTGGGGCATTGATTTTAGTGTAATATAAACTTACTGTAGTTCAAGTATAGTCCAAGAATGGCACTTTCACACAGTTATCTACAATGTGCAGTCTAAAGCCTGGAAGATCTGTGTTACTTTACTATGCCTAGACTCCCTAGACTCTAAATCTTAATCTGCTGGTGAGGGTCAGTCCCTTGCCTGCTTGTAGCTGTGATAAATGTGCTGGTTTCTGCTCAACTTATTATATAGACACAGGAAAAGCCTGGTCAGTAAAAAGTCAGTTCTTGGTAACTGCATCATATAGCTTTGTTTAAAATAAATTTAATTAAAAGTGGTTCCCTATCTATTGCATTAAATAACAAGAAACACAGTCCCTTGCACTTGGCTGTTGTGTGGCTTCCAGCTTGGACAGACATGAGAAATATTCTTCCAATAAAGTTTTTGTTTGCCTTCAAGTGGATCACTTCTCCTGTAATGATCTTCATGTGCATCTTTGAGAATATGTAAAGCTAAAGTCAACTCATTTTCTTCTATTCTTTTTACTTTTGCATAGCTCAGACTTAATTGATGTGGGTCTTCTCTGTGGTCAGTATAGAAAATAATTGGCTTTTACTAAGAGAGGTGTTGGTGTCACATATTTTGTAATGATGACAAAAGATATCAGTGATGCCATAAAGCAAGCTACCCATTTCAATGTCTCCCTGTACCCAATCCATTCAGTCAGAAACGGAGTTAAATTAGCAGTATCTACAGGAGTAAAAAACAGTCTGTGTTTGTTTAATTTTACAATAGCAAATAAATGGAAAAGAAATATTTGTCTACTAGCACTTCCTGGTAATATCAAATAAAATTTTGTTTGATTTTTTTTCCAGCCAGTTCAGCAAAGTTGAATGGGAGAAGAAAAAGTTTGATAAGGCAATTGGGTAAGTTTGTAAGTCTTCTGTGTCTGTGGCAACTTTAAACTGTTAACACTGATGCTGTGTATTTGAAAGAAACAGGGAGTTGTCTGGGCTATTTTCTTAAGGAATTTCTAGCACACATGCTAATATGCATTGTCTTAACCACATCTTGATTTTGATCAAAGATTGCTGGATAAACCTACTTTGAAGTATGACTTCGGCGTGGGCAAAATCTTGTTGCAAAGAGAAAGCTTTTTCTGCGTGCTATGAATAGTGCAGATATAAATGTCTGTTTAATTCTTCTTAGAACATAATATGATCACGTCTCTCTCCTCTCTGTCAGAGACAGGCTCTAATCTGCTTTCAAGAAAGTATAATAATGAGTGTATCGGAGAATCTATAATACCTTATTTTAATGCCTGCATTTCACTGTTCTGTGGAATTTCCCATTAGGCCTTACATTGCAACTAACTTACAGATTTACTTTTTTTACTCCTGGAACATACAAAACTAAATAAGTTTCCTTTGTTTTCTTTCTTTGGGAAATGGTCATTGCCAGAAATATTGAGTTCTTTAGACAGAAGGTTTACAAATGAAAAAAAAACCCTGCTAATTTGTAAATATACTTTTCTTGCTGATCTCTTAGCAGGACAGAGTTTTGCTTCATAGGTCAGATATTTTAATTCTCTTCCCAGCATGCCCTGATTTAGGATTTTGCCTGTGTATCTAGTTCTCTGTTTGGAAGAAATGGGAATGATTCAGCTGGGTTTCTCTCATGGGCTTTTTAGCCTTATGAGTATCATTATAGAACCAGTTGTCTAACCCCTGATGGCGTTTCCAGTTGGGCCAAGAGGTTAAAATAGTGAACATTAGGTCACCTTGCAGGCACAGCCACCATGTGGAGTGCTTACCTCATGTCAGAAACAAGATCAGGGACTCCTGGGTTGTCTATTTATTCCATGGGAATTAACATGTGCTGCTCCACTGAAAATACTGGCACAGTGGTGAAACTCCTGTTTTCACTGTGACTGTATGTTTCACTAAGGAAACACTGCCATTAGAGGGCACAAAATAGATAGGATAAATGTTTTTTCCAGTTTTTCACCTCAGCTGGAAACTGATGAGGTAGAGAATTAATACACTTCAGTATCACACCATCTGCAGAGTCAGTGTCAGAGTTTCTTACAGCCTGTGGAAAGAAAACAAGCTCTCAACAAATGCTTGGTTATTTTTACAGCTACTCGTTTGCTATTGTGGGCATCAACATAACAGACCTTGCGTATAACCTGCTTGTGAGCGGAGCTCTGAAGACCCATTTCTACAACGTTGCTCCAGAGGCACCGACACTCACTCACTTTCAGCAGACCTTCTGTAAGTGGGAGATGGGACAGCTCCTTGATCTGTGTTCCTATTACTGTTATTTTATCTACCCTTGCAGATAGCAGATAGCTGACACAGATTTATTTACAGGTATTGTCATACTGGTCTTGCTGTCCTGTCTTTGTGATGCAGTACTCAGTTGCAACACGTGCCACCACCGAACCAGGGAGTAGAACAAAGTGCAAAAAAATAATAATAATAAACAAAGTGCTTGAACTGGTGACCTTCCTACATGCTTAAACTGATTTTAAATATAATAAGAAAAAAGAACTCAAGCTTTTAAAGAGCTTCTAAAGATACTTTCCCCATAAATCCATCTTAGATATCTTCATTTACATACAAATGTTTCCCTGCACCCTTCAGTAGATTTGTCCATCCTTAGGATTGTTTTTCCAGCCTTCTCCCTTGTATTCAAGCATTCCTTTTATAGCACAGACCTATTGTGCATCTTTGCCAGAAGGCTGCAACAGCAAGCACCACATTCTGTTTTTCAAAGTGTAATCAAGTAACTGATATCGAGAAGACAAGATGCACTGATTTCCCTATTTATTCAGGAAAAAAGCAATGGAAAGCAGCAACCAAAATTAAAAAAAAAACAGGCAGCTTTGCAAGTTGACTTCATAGCAGATTTTGTTTTGTTTTCCTGCTATAATATTCATTGTTTAACTAGATAACTAGTAAATATTAGTGACTGTGCATCTTTTATTAAATAATATAGGCATTCAAGGTTCCTGTTTAGTAAGACTTGCTCATCCAAAATCATACATAGGCAGGTACTGTAGCAGGGATACTCTTTTGTGATGGTTTCTGGGTTACTGTCCTAAGCACACTGGCTGGTAGGAACTTGGGCAGTTTAGTGGTTACACGTCTGTCTTTGTTGATGGTCAGCTTGATAAATAAAGAACAGATGAGTACCTAAATATCCACTTGTGCACTTTCAGATTTTTTTTTTTTCCATTGGGATAGTTACTCTGTCTTTTTACCAAGTCCCTAACCTGCCCATAGCCTTGTGAATGGATATATCTAATATGATTGGTTTTAATCCTGTATCTTCAGATCACACGTATAGTTCTGTGTTCAATTTTTTTGCATTTGTTTGTTTGTTTGTTTTCTTCCCCATGACACTTCAATTACTATAAGAGAACTTTTTTTACTGCCACCAGTGTGTCTTGCTGTTAGTATCGAAGTCTTGGCTGAAGGTGGGACTGATCTGCTGGCCAGGCCAGGCCAGGTCTGATCCCCAGGACCAGTGTGTCCACTGCAGGGACCAGCATTGCCATTCCATCGCAGCAGCACCACAGGGAGAGCTGCTTGTGGCAGTTCCTCCTTCTGCAGTCCATGCACATGGATTAAGTAGGATAAAACACAAGCATCTGGGCAGTAAAGTATAAGCAGTGCACAGAACTGTATAGCTCAGCAGCATGGTCAGCTGAAGTACAGAAGGTACCTTTTGGAAATTGAGAGTTTGGGAGATGAAGATTTAATGTTTTACATTTTATATAGTGATTTTTTTTTAAGGGGCTTTAACTGAGCTTTTCTTTGAAAGAATAATCTCTTGGAATGAAACAGCCACTGGCTGCTGAAATATATAGATCCAAAGATGTGGGCATGGTGGTAATGAGTTGTCAGTTGGACTATGATGATGATCTTAGAGGTTTTTTCCAACTTTGTGATTCTACGAGTTTAAGATGCCTTTTGAATGGAGTTTCTCAAATTCATAATGAGAAACTTTGCAAACATACAGTGAAATTTAAGTTAGAAATATGTATGTGTGTTTGTGGCTGATTGTAATGCAATGGAAAGAACTGGATAAAAGCAACTAAGCCTCTTGTGCAACAAATGACATCACTTCTGGACAGGCATAACCTGCATGTTTCACTTTATTGGAATGAGAGCTTACATATCCTTGATGGCTCATATAATCATAGAACCAAGAATGTAATCATTATCATCTTCCCCTACTCATTAGTTTAATGTTTTATTTTGTGTTATTTAACATGGTTGAATGAAGTTAACAGCTCATCATCATACATATGTCAAGATGCTTAATGAGTTCTGTTAACTATTGGAAGTTCTGCCAATATTCATCAAATTTGAGCTTGCTTCTAAGTCAGCTTTCTAAAAAATCTTCCTGAAATTAAGGAGGAATATTCTTACATCAAATAGCCTTGCTAAGCATATGATCAGATGTTTTCCTGAAATGAATTTCCAGCTGTTATATTAAGTGTGCAGCATGTGCAGAGCCAGTGCCATGGCAGCTAACTCTGCCAGTTCTTCTACTTGCACAAGCCATAAGTCATGTACGTGCCTTATGTAGCAGCAGTCTCACAGGTGGATTTAGTCTTATCCCCGCATAGTTCTGTGAGGTGCCAGACCTTGATGATCAGAATTCTTTGTGCACATCGTAATTATGAATTTCCAGTTCTCTTTTAATTTCATGTGATTTAAAATACTGCATTTCTCTTATATTTTTTTAATTATTCTTTTGTAGGCTACTTAATGCATGAATTCCACAAATTTTGGATTGAAGAGGATCCACTGGATATAATGGAGTTCAACCGCGTCAGAGAGAAATTTCACAAGCGAATCTTGAAACAGCTCCAGAACCCCGAGATGGCTCTGTGCCCTCACTTTGCTGCATCAGAAAGTTTAATCAATATGTAGTTACTCACGTGATTTTATTTGGAAACACTCTTTCACTCTTGTGTTAGACCACTGTTCAGACCGTCACTAGCATACTGAATGACCATGGCAATTGTATGCATGTTTTTGGTGCAGTATTCATCTATTTTTGTCACAAGTTCTAGATCCCCTTATGCTTCTCTTGGGGGATTTCTCATTTTAAATGGGTGCTCATATTGCGGCATTATGCAGTGTTACATTCTGAACTGATGTCTGGGTATCAGAGTTTTTCTATTTTTTTAGACTTTCCTCATAATTCAACATCAAAAAATTGAATAGTATTTCTCTAGCTGTGTTTTGTATATGTGGAATATGTGGCTGGATCTTGTATTGTGAAAGCTTTTTAACTTCTTGGTATGTTTTAAGATAACTGCTGGCATTTCAAGCAAAATATATGTTTGGACCTCGTCTAGGAGATAATATGTGTAACTTAATCTGATGTAGACAAACACATTAAAGTCAAATTTTCTCCATGCAGCCATATATGCTTAATGCAGAATTAATGAGGCTTACTAGATACAAGTTTCAGTAAGAAGTTTATGCAGAATTACAATCAGACTCCACAGCTGCATGAATACCAAATGTTCTGGTGATGCTAATGTACTCCCGGAGAAGTGCAATCACTCACAGCTACTGGATACTGGTAGGGGCCAAAAAAAGTACTGTCAGATTGTCAGCACCAACACCACTGTGCTGAAGCACAGTTTAAATTCCTGCACGTTCCTTTGGGCTGTACAGGGCTTGGTATTCTTTGTCACATGTTGGAAGGTGATGTGATTTGATTACGTTGTGTGCGGTGAATTCAGAGGAGCAGAAAACAATATTTTTTTTTGAACTATTCAAACTGTAGCTTCGGTTGTCAATTCAGTTCATAAGGACTGGGAAAATTAATTGACTCGAAGGTTTAGAGAAAACCCACCTGAGTTTCCCAGACTACTTAAAAAACAAGAAATGGCAAGCTGCATTTTTTCTGAAATCAGAAATGAGTGAAAGTGTCTGACACTAAGAATGTGTAGTATATTGAACAGCATCTACCATGGCATTTCATACCCATGGTATTTTTTACCTTATAAGCAAGCAATTTTAGTATTATGTTTGTGTAAATCACTTGCATATGGAGATTAACTTGCAGTAGTGTCCAACTACTTGTGAATTATATGAATAAATCATATGTCATTCTAAATGGAAGCACTATGGGTTTTATTTTGCAGATATGGACTAGTGGATAGAAGGGTCATAACCTTTCTGTGGTATTTTCTTAGTCTGAAGAGTGATGTAAATTTACCTGGGTCGGGTTTGTTACAGCATTTCTAGTTATGGTGTGAAGGATTCAGTTTGTTATAGCATTTCTAGTTATGGTGTTAGGCATCACGAAATAAATAAGCTTTGTATTTAAGCTCCCATTTTTTAGCTCAAATGTGAGGTGGGAATTGGGACTTCTCTGCAGAGCTAAGAATTTGCATTCTCTGCAGAGATGATCAACAGAATTCTATAGGTGTTGCAATAACTGGTGTTCTCTGATGACTTCAGAAATACAGTACTGAAGATATTAGCTGCTGCATATTTTGAATGAAAATATAACAAATAAAAAATGTGTTGAACTTGTAAATAATCTATGATAACAGTGCATCAAATATTGATGACTTTTTTATGACTTTTGAAGCCTCTAATGTTTTCTTTCAACAGTTTTCATTGTTTCAAATAGCCTCTCACCTTCTTTCCTTCCCTGGCTCTCGTACTCCTCTTCCTTCTGCAACACATTAATTAGTCTGCACTGGTTTATTTTTAATCTTCTGCATGGGAGTTAATGGAGCTGATGTGAAGGTCCCTGCCACCTTCTCACTGGTGTGATCTTCTCAATTGCTGTGCCCTTCCAAATTGTCCCAAAGTGTCAACTTCAAATAAAATCAGCAAATGTCATCTGGCCCCATGTCAGATTGTGTCACTATAATGTAGCTGCTGTGGGTGATTTCTTTCCTGTCTTGCAGGGAGATGGGTTTAATGAAGCTATGTGTGAAGTTCCTTCTCCCGTTGAGCCCCTGCATGCTGGTGGCTATGGAGCTCATTTTGCTGCCTACTCTTACATCAGCTGTGTGCTGTGACATCCTGGCTCTCCATGCCCTTGTCAGACCTGCGGTTATGAGTGCCCCTGTGACTGCCAGTGTGGCAGTGCCCCAGGATGAAACTTAAAACCTACAGTGGAAACCAAAATGTTTATTTTAGAAGTTATAATTTGTTGTACCATTGGTACATCTCTGAATTGTGACCTGTGAGGAACTGATTGCTGTTTTTGCTGAGAGAGAAAATTGGAAGAAATGGTAAAGAAATGAAAGTTTACAATGTTGTTTCAAGAAAGCACGCAGTGTTTGCACTCACTGCAGGGAACAGATTTGGGGAGTTTAATTTAGAACAGGAAAAATTTATGCTGGGTAATTTGAACAAGTTTCTTAGGCAGTTTTACCAGACAAATTGTTTGCATCGGCCTTGTCATGCAGCATGAGCACATTAAAAAGGCAGAGCCATGCTGTAATTACATCAGTGTTGACCAAAGCTTTCTGACTTACCTGCCTGTGCACTGACCAAAGCTTTCTGACTTACCTGCCTGTGCACTGCGGGAGTGCAGTCAGGTTTGCACCAAGCAAAATGGCTTAAAATGATGTGAATTCTAAGCTGCTCACTCACTTAATAACAAGATGAGATAACATACCAGTACTATGCAGAACATGTCTCGCTTTGTGTGGGAAGATGAAAATAGCATCACTGGTGACACCACACTGTGTATGGTTTATCCCATGATTTTTGCCTTATCCTACCTAATGTGAGTTTACCTTCTTGCCAGGGCTCCTTGGAGAAGGTAGGTGGGCTCTGATTTGTAGTTAGTAAGCTCTATGCTCCTCCAGCCCCTGGGGCTGGGCTGTGACTTCAGGTAGGGGCTGCTCACAAGGCTTATGGTCACAGCAGGGAGGAGAGCACATGCTGTCCTGCCTTCGTTCAGCTCTTTGGCTTGTAGCTTTTTTCTTCCTCTGGAGAAAGAAGGACTTTTTGCCCGGGTTCTTACCATCTCATTTGAAAGGTATTTGTTCAAATGCTGGTGGCTGTGTATATCTCTATACACTATTTATTGCAGCAGAGAAAGTCCATTCATTCTTGGAGAAATGTTTCTTCGGTCTGTCTCCTGAAGCTGGTCTGGAAAATTTGCTGTGGTATAAAGGGAATTAATCTTCATTTATAGAAGTGTAATACTTACAAACTTCTGTACCTTTATGGTAGCTTTATGGCCTGCGCTGTGTTCTCTACATGGCAGTGTTGGCTGAGGCTCTCTGCTTCAAATAGAGAATTGCCAGCACAGTTCTAGTTGAAATAAGTGTTTTTAGATGGATCAGGAGAATGTACATGAACAGAATGCTGATGCTTGGGTTAATGAACGAGGTCTGCTACTACTGAGCCAAAGAATTGGTGGGAGTATAGTGAAGGTTTCCTTCATACAGTTGTATCATCGGTTCCTTCTTATTTCTGCCCTTCATGGACTCTGGTTAGCTTTTAGCATCCTTTGCTGTTTGCTGACCTGTTCATTTTTGTCATAATTTACCTGAGGTTTTGATCTGTGCACATGTGCATTCAGCAGTGCAGGGTCATCCCATGACAGGGGTATTGCCCACTGCCAATTGGAGTGTGAGCTCTAGAGGGAACCTCAGTCTGCAACTTTGCCACCTGGACAGATCTGACTGAGGTAGGAGTCAGTTACAGACTGTAACTGTAATCACATGCAGTTTTATCAGTGCTAACTTCATCTGTTTGTCAGATGCTTTGGGGATATATGGGAACTCTATGTATACTTTTCTCTGCCCTACAGTTGGCTCTTGATGTGCTTGATGTGATCAACATATCACCATCTGAGCATTGTAGGAAGAGTTCTCTGAGAATGGCTCTCATGATCTTTAATTTCCAGATAACTGTCCTACTGTCTCTGTAGCTTGCAACCAGCTCAACTTTCACCTCTCATTCCTCACCTGGATTTTTGTCCAGTATAAGCTGAAATTTTGCACTAATTTTCCAGGTTATGCTGAGAAAAACAAAATGTCTCTTCTCTGTACATTTGCGCTGATAGCGTGGTGCAACTAAAAATCACATGCATTATTAAAATAGATTTTTTGCAGAAAACAATCCTGAAAAAGAAAATGAATTATTCATTGTTTTCCTTGGTTTGCAGCAGTGCAGGTTTTCTATGAGACTTGCCAAAGATTAGACAGGAGTCTTCCAACATGATCATGTAGAAATATAGTAGAATTAGCTTTGTACGTTCCCCTGTGAACAGCATGCAGAGAAATCAGGTCATTACTTATTCTAGTAAAGGAAACTGTTCTTCTCTATATAGAGCTATAATTAGAAAAGGAGATTTAGCTATAAAGCCTCTGAGCAAGAACTGGGTACAGCAGCTTAGTTCATAATGAACCATGGGGAATGGCAGAGGATTTATTTTCTGTGGTGCTGTGTTTTTAGACTTGTGCTCTACTGTACTAAAAGACTGTAAAACCCTGTGGCTAAAGGAGTTCTGTGCCCCAATATGCTTCTGGTGTGAAACAAGGGTGAGCAAGACAGGAGAGCATTGGGTTAGCACCTACGAGCACAGCTGCCGGCTCTGCAGCGCAGAGTGAAACAAAAGGAGCTGGAGAATGGGATACAGCTGTGTGCCCATGGACTCCTTTCCCCAGTTGCAAGGGTAACCACAAAGATGGCACACACAGATGATTGTGAAATACCAAACCAGTGGGCAGCAGAGCGTGGTTGTGTAACATGCTATAAATTAGGACAACTCTCCGTCTTTCTTGTACTGGGGGCCCCAGACCTGGACACAGCACTCCAGATGGGGCTTCATGAGGGAAGAGTAGAGAGCAACAATCACCTCCCTGTCCCTGCTGGCCACCCCTCTTCTGATGGTGCCCAGGATGCTGATTTGGTTCTGGTTAGTCTCACATATTTCTTTAGGCAGTTGTGATAATCCATCCATCATCTGCCTCTTCACTTTCTCCCAGTTTTCCATTCACATTGGTTTATTAGTTTAAAATAAGCCAGTGCATAAACACTTCTCTTTGGTTTCCATGTGTCTGGCCCACTGACCCTTCAGTTTCTCTTCCTTTCACCCTCTGCTGCATACTTTAGGCAGACAGACATTTTGTGGAAGATATGAGTGTTCCTCCCTCTACCTTTGGGACCAAAAAGGAGTGGGAATAGAACTCTGGGAGCAGGGGTCTGTACAGGCACCAGCCCATTTAGTAAGCCCTCTCCTTGCATTCTGCCAGCTCACAGGGTGCTGCTGTGACACCAGGAATGGGAAGGTTGCTCTTAGTTTGGCCATCTCAAGGCTGCTGCCTCCAACTGTTTTGCTTCTTACATGACAGCTGTTGGAAAGAGGCATGAGCATATGGCTGTCTTAGGAAAGCAGGTCTCCAGCTCTGCTACTAGTTTGGTACATGGGATTGTTCCACCCCTAAAGCACAGTCTCAACAGGATCTTTCCATGGCGAATCAGCTTCTTCTGACTCAAGGAATGGATCTTATCTATATTATTTTATTTCATTACTGAGGCCAGCCTCAGTTGAAGTTGTACCTGCCTGCTGTGCAGTGTAAATGTACAAATCTGGCCAGAAGCAGTAAAATCAGCAACAGCAAAAATAGGGCTCCCAGGTCTCAACAATGAGTTATAGTCCCAGCAGAGTGCCCTCCTTTCATTTACTGGATGAAAAGGCAGGTCTGAAAGAGCTATGAACATCAACTACCTACTGAGTGGGTCAGAAAGTCTCCCTTGATCAGTGATGTGAGTGCACTTGTGTTAAAAACTAAACTAAGCGTTCATGTCCTGGGAGTCTATCTGAAAAACCAGGCAGTGACTCTGTCATCATGTAGAAATACCAGTGCTTTTGGAGTACAAAACTAACTCCAGTAGAGGTCCAAAAGCTACAGTGAAGTTATGCAGTGCATTTGGGAACCCACAGCAATTCAAATCATTTTGGAGATGCCTGAACAGCAACTAATAGAGATAAATACTGGCACTTCAGTGTTTTATTCTATGTTCTTAATTTGCACTTATACATGAAAATTAAACAACTCTGTCTAGCAGCAGTATCTTTTGTGATTCTCTTAAATTTATTTTGGACATGTATAATCACTGCCTATGAGCCTTATGCATAATGATAATTAACTTCTAGTTAATGATAATTAACTATTCCATTATTTTTCAGGTGTAGCAGTGACAGCTCATAGACATTTGAGTGATGGGAGTTAGAAACTCCCTTCCTCCCAGAGAAGAACTGCCTTTGGGTCAGAGCATTGTAGGAGGCAGTTCAGCCAACATTATTTGAATTAGGTCATCTGTGATGCTACTGAAAATGCAATCAACACTAAAAAATAATGTCAAATGCCTAAAATTCAGAGAGGCTGACAAGAACATAGCTTTCTTTCTTTCTTTCTTTCTTTTTTACAAGATCATGTTCTCAACTAAAAATGGAGAGTCTGAAATACCCATAGCGCATGGAAACTAGGATTGATGTGTTACATGCATGTGCACTGGGACTCCTATATCTGTAGAATAGAAGTATTCTGCCAGAGGTTAATTCCAGCATACAGCAGCTCACTGCTCCTAGAATCAAATCAGCTGTAAGCAATTGATTTTTTTTTCATATTGAATTGCCTGTCACAAAAATTTCCATAGGAAAAAAAAAAATATTTTTAGACGGTGGACCCCCTCCCCGCTTATTTTTTTCTTTTGTAAGACCACATAACATATTTCAACAAGCTTCTATTGTATGAATGATTCCAAATAACCTTATTCCAACCAGGACAAGTAACG